TATGTTAAGCTTCTCTGTACTTTTGTACAAGGTGTAGTGTTTGCTATGTGCCAGGGAGCTGGGATATAACAACAACACCTCATCCATGCTTAGGCACTACAGAGCTTTGCATGAGAATAAGGGGGACACCGATTGTGGAGCAAGACCAGGTGAGCCATCAAATGCCATGATAATATAGCACGCAGTAATGTTACTAAATGATATAACAATATTATACAACTGTAATAAGCTACGTGTGTGATATTTATATTTGTGCTTTGTCTTTATTGTCTTTCCTCAGGAGAACAATCTCAAATAGATGAAGACCTGGTTAGCATGGTGATCGAGGACTCCCAGCCATTTAGCATTGTGCAGGACAAAGGAGTTAAAAGATTTGTTAAATCATTAAATCCTAGCTATGTTCTCCCCACTAAAGGTTATAGAAGCAGTGAAAATTTAGTTTTTACAGAATAAAATGTGAACAGGCAGGACTGAGGCTCAAAGCCTCAGTGTGTAGCTGTCCATACCTCAACGTTACAAAAGCACAACTATTGTCCACACCCCAACCACACCTCACCTCACAGTGAATGATCATTTCCATTTTAAGCATTTCCAAATGATGATTTTCCGTACTGCCAGTATAAATATACACAGTATACTGCATCACTACAATATAGATGTTTTACACACTCCTTTTGTTGTTGACATTTACAGGCTGTGTGCAAAATGCCACACTCTTCAAATTCTTGCCAACTAATATTTTTACGTCCAGTAGGTGTCCTACTAGAGCAAATGAAGCTTCAAGAAGCTTTGCGCTGGGGAGAACCAATTGGATGAAAAGCTTCAGTGCTTCATGAGGCTTCATCTGCCCATTACTAGTTTTCACACACTTTTGTTTGCCCACTCACACTCATTCCACACCATCGGGGGTACGGACAAGTCCGAGACTCTAAGCACAAGAGAACTGTGGTTAGCATAAACCGAGTAATCAAACGAGAAACAGTTTATCGGGGCTGTATTGACAAGAGTAAATCAACGATCCGTTGAGGAAGCCTTCTGAGTCCTCAGCGTAAATAGCTCATATGTCCAGGTAATCAGGTAAATCCACGGCAGGTGCGTGGGTCAAGGGCAGGAGCCCAGCTGAGCTCTGCCCAGGCAGACAGGTGAGAAACACAAACTAGACACAAACTAGAAACAACATGTAGCCTGAAACCTAGGTCCACCAAGGAGACACAGAGACCATGACAGTATCACATTTTCAAAGCATAGAGTAGGGAGCAAAATTTTCACAAAAACAGTTTTAGAGAACTTAAACAACTTTACTTTTTCCACAGTGCTTGTATGCCTCTTGCAAAACTGTACGTTTCACCATAAGACACAATAACTCACGATTATCTAAGACCAGCTATGAAATAACTATCACAATCATTTGTCCCCGCTGCTGCCCTCAGACCCAAATGCAGTCTTCTGTACTGGGGGGTAAAATGGCTCTTTTGGTGGTTCATAAAAAATATCTCAAAAAGCGATGTTTTAAGTGGAAAAAAGCTTGAATGTGGTGAGGGGACCAGAAACACTGGGTTGCAGAGCAGTTGGTAACGACTTGAGAGTCTACAACATCTCAAAACCTGTCTTGGTTGATTTCAAAAACTCTGATCCGCTTCGCTAGTGAGAAAGCTGTAAATTCAATTCTGCTCCTGATTGTATATGTGGAGCCCGGCTCTAATATCTCACTGGTGGCAGCTAAAGGTAGGCACGCCTCGGAGGCGGAATTCGTCTCGGGCACAATCTTTCAAACGAGCCTCATGGCATTTCAGGTATCCTCAGGCTGGAAACAACATGTAGTTGCTTGGGGTCAAAATCCACACAGAGCTGGTGTTTCGCAGGGATCAGGTTAACACATTTGGCTTAAATCAGAGTCTAAAAATATAATAAAACAAAAAGAGATTTAAAATACGCAAACTAGTAAAATATCAAAGGAGTATAACATAACATAATCAAGCTGATATGAGTTACCCGAGGAGGCCATGATAGGTGATGTAGACATGTAATGTATAAACTTTCACGGGAGTTAAACTAGAGTTTTTATATTTTTTTTTAAAAAGTGTATTGTACGTGTTACAAACCATTGTGATATTTTACGAAATGAAAGGATTGAAAGAATGGTCAAAAGGAAAATGCAAAAATGTAGTTAGAGAGGAAGATTAACACTTACCGATTGATATGCACAGAGGGAAAGCAACGCCAGTTGTTGACCTGGCTGGAGACAGTAGTGATGTGCGAATCATGAACGAATCGTTCAATACTCGGGAATCACTTTACTGACTCGTGAATCATGATTCACAAGCCCAACTGACTCACTGACTCATCCCTGTTGCTGTTAGCAAACTCATTTCATTAGTAGAAATATATCTAGCTTATAATTAAAATTGTGTGGAAAAAACAACAGTTTCTTAACAAAAACATTTCTGCTCTGAACTGGAAGAAAAAACCCTGAGTAGAAGATCACGTCAAGACAATAGCTCCTCAGTTCACAGTAGAGCTGGGCGATAGAACGATAACGATATGTATCGCGATATAACTTTTACTCGATAGAGAAATTAAGCTATCGC